AGGATAACCGCGGAAGTTCGGACGGAACTTCGTTGGTGGCTGCTCCACATGGAAGCTTGGAACGGCAGGGCCATATTCGGCTCAAACCCAGACTTCATACTGGAATCGGATGCCAGCCTGTGGGGTTGGGGAGCCCACTGCGCACACGCGTCCACGGGGGGCCCCTGGTCGGAAGAGGAAAAGTCGCTGCACATCAATTGTCTAGAGTTGATAGCCGGTTCTTTCGCTATCCGCAGCCTGGCCAAGCACATGTCCAATTGCTGCATACTGCTACGCATGGACAATATATCGGCAGTCCAGTACGTGAACCGACTGGGGGGAGCCAGGTCCCGAGCATTGACGGAGGTTACCAAGGACATATACCAGTTTTGTCTCCCACGCAACATAACTCTCAGAGCGGAATACTTACCAGGTCTCAACAACCTCACCGCGGATTGGTTCTCCCGTCATTGGCGGGACACCAGCGACTGGCACCTGGACACAGATCTTCAATACGGTGAGATCACTCAGGGGACCACTCCACATAGACCTTTTTGCCTCGCGCACGAATACACAACTACCGAGGTACTACAGCTGGTTACCGGACCCTCAGAGCGAAGCAGTGGATGCCTTTCTACAACACTGGTCCCCGATAGGAGCATATGCCTTCCCACCATTCTCAATGTTGGCAAGAGTACTTCACAAGCTGCGCACGTCCAAGACATCTCTGATCCTGATCACACCCTTATGGAGAAGCCAAGCATGGTTCCCCGACTTACTCGCACTGTCACACGACCACCCACTGGTCCTACCGACGTTTCCCATGCTTCTTATGAATCCGGATGCGGAACCTCATCCTCTAATAATGCAAGAACATCTAGAGTTGGTAGCTTGGACACTTTCAGGGGATCTTGGGCAATCCCAGGCCTATCACAAACGGCTAGTGACCTCCTTTGGGACTCTTGGGCACCAGGGACTAGGCGTAGCTACATGGCGGCATGGGATGTATGGGACCGCTGGTGTATGGGAAGGGGCCTCGATCCCTTTACAGCACCTGTATCGGCCATACTAAATTTTCTCTCCACTTTGTTTTCCAACGGGAAATCATACCGGTCCATTAACGTTACACGCTCTGCTATATCTGCAGCGCATGTTCCAGTTAATGGTACCCCAGTGGCTCAGGAAGCCTTGGTATGTCGGCTCTTACGAGGCATTAAATTAGCCAGACCACCGGCTCCGAAATATCGCCATTTATGGGATGTGGATGTGGTCATTCGGTTCATTCAGGACTGGCCGGATAACTCTGCCCTATCACTCAGACAATTAGCGGCCAAACTTACATTATTGTTATGTTTAGTCTCTTTCCGTCGTGTATCGGATGTTCGGGCTTTCGACGTGGACGGTTTTACTATAACTCCCGTCGGTGTTACGTTTTTGATATCCAGAAGGACTAAGACGGACTCCAAATCCGTGTCCTACCCCTTTTTTCCGGCGGTTCCTCGTCTTTGTGTCGTCTCCACCTTACTCTGTTATGTGGAAGTTACGGCGCCTCTTCGGGCTACCGGAACGGGACAACTGTTAATTTCATATACCAAACCATACAAGCCAGTTACCACTACTACACTAGCCAGATGGATACGATGGTTATTGTCATTAGCCGGGGTAGATTCTAGTTTTGGGGCCCATTCGGTTCGAGGGGCGGCGGCATCGAGGGCCTTCTCGGCGGGTGCCTCCCTGGCGGACATTCTTCATACGGCGGATTGGACCAGAGAAAATACCTTCAGGGTGTTTTATTTTCGCCAATCATCACATGCGTCCTTAGCGTTTTTACCCCAGCGTTAAAAATGCAAAATAGGAAGCCTCCTGTCATGTAATAAAATTGTAGATTATGCTAGCGTAGTGTACAGATAATCTTAATTTTAATAATGACAGGAGGCGAGTATTTTCCCTTCCCCTTTTTTCTTTCCCTCCCTATACTCTTGGGACTGTTTTCTCTCACCTCTAATTGTACATGGATGGATTCACTTCCACTTTCATCTAGCTATGGGTAAAAACTGAGGCAAGGGACGCTCAGACCTTATGTCATTAGATAGTCAGCACAGCTTTACAGATCAGAGTTGACACACAATGTACACAGGATTTTTATGTCAGGTAGAGGTACTAAACCTTAATTTTGTTAGTTTTAGATTAAAGATATTAACGTTAATTTTGTCAGTTTTAAGATTAGGATTAGACGTTGATATGTGGACAACAGTTGTTTTCCCACGCCTTTCACTTCTTTCTATTTCTTTCAGCTTAACATCACTTCATGAGACGGAAGTAGGATCATAGATTTCCTCTGCATTTCCACAAGTTGACAAGTTCTACCGTTCAAGTTTTTCATTACCTACGAAAGAGTTTTCCTTCCGGCATGGTTACAACAAAGAAAGAGGAAATGGGAAGCCTGTCAGACACTTATATAGAGGAGGCGCTGGACTCTGATTGGTTAAATACTTTTTCTTTCTGATTGATTGACTTGTGCTGCTGGAGGCATAAAGTAAAGAAAGTTTATGCAAAATACTCGCCTCCCTCCATAAGCAATGAATATAACCTCTTCGTTAACACCTCTTGTCTTATATAAAAATGTGCAGCAATCTTAACATGTATAATGATATTACTCATGATACTCTGTAACGCAATCTAATAACATGTTAATGCCAAGCTATGTACTGAATAATGCACTACCAAAAAAAAAAAAAAAAAATGTGCTGTTTATCTACTGCCATGTCTTTGTACCAGTTATGTTTGACGATATTGCACTTGTACCTGCTGTCATGGCGGAACAAGCGCTGTTGTTATATATCTTGCACAACAAAAATAAAGAATTATAAAAATAAAAAAAATACTCGCCTCCTGTCATTATTAAAATTAAGATTATCTGTACACTACGCTAGCATAATTTACAATTTCTTTTTGTCATCAGACTGGTCACTAAAGACTTTATGCACCCATACAAGCCACTGCTTATTGATTATGGTAGCTATAGAAGGTTGTGCAGTTAATTGAGGGAAACATTGTTTTAGATAAAGATTATTAAAGATCAGACTGTGATAATGGCAGAAACCATCACTTGTCCTTAAGCAGTTAAATCTCACGGCTGCTGGTTTTCATTCCTGCCAGGGTCATGTCTTTCATCCTTATGAAGTCAATAATATAAATATACTTCTGTTGTGTACCATGCTTCTAGTGGGCTCTGTTGGATCGTCCATCTATTGAGTTCTTCATGCCGTATTACAGGAACATTAGGGGGCAATATATGAAAAAAAGTATCACAAATCAATTAGAAACTAAGCTTTGTGCAAACATGTTCAGTAGAAAATCAATGGGAAGAAAAACAAAACAGTTGTGAATAAGACGTACCATTTTTGCCCCCCCACCCCCTTTTTTTTTTTTTTTTTTTTTTTTAAATCGACCACAGACTGTAGATGGATTGAGAGAATGCCAAGTACATGTGCGAGTGTATGCCATTTCTCTGCTCGATGCCCAAGTGCGCTCTCCAGATCCAAAACGCAGTAGCTAGCACACTTGCCTCAACACTTTATTCTCCCCAGTATAAATAAAATAATTTACTTAGACAAAGGAATGGTCACATTTCTGTAAAGGCCAGCTCCTTTTAAACAATTGAGAACTGGAAGGATATGTTTAAATGGACACTATAGTCACCAGAACAACTACAGCTTAATGTATAGTATACAGCTTAATGTACAGTATACAGCTTAATGTAGCTGGTGAGCATAACGGCTCCCTTCAGGCATTTTCATGTAAACACTGTCTTAGATGGCCACTGGAGGTGCTTCCTGCGTCAGTGCTGCACAGTAAGCAGCCCTGCCATTCAGCGTCCCCACGCTCTGCATGGAGACACTGAATTTTCCTCATAGAGATGCATTGATTCATTAAGCATTATGGGAGGTCTTCCTTGGAATCAGGAGATAATGGGACCCCATGTGCAACCACTGCAGCGCCCCTCCTGGTTTCTCCAAGTTGACTGTCATATAGTAAGATGTGCACATTTATTTTTTATTTTAAATATAATAATTCTTCTATCAGGTTTTCAAAGGAAACCGATAAATAAAATACATGTAAAAAAATAATAATTAAAAACTCAGAAACATCAGGTAGATCCATCCAGTAGCGTACACATGATCCATGGGGCCCCGGTGCGAAAACTGGTACGTGAGCCCATTGAGTAATGCTTTACTATGGGCGGTTTGAATGCACGCGCAACTCTCGCCGCGCATTTGCAGTCAGAGCTGAGAGGCGGATCGGGGCGGAGAGATCACCAGCGCTAAGAGAGCCGGGCGCTGAAGGGGTTTTAACCACACACACTCTCACGAACAGATGCATACACACAAGCTAACAGACACACACACTCACTGACAGACACACACAAACTAACACACTCACACTGACCCTCACTAGCAGACACACACACACAGTAACACACACAAAAACTGACACACTACTAGACACACACACACACAAAAATTAAGACACACACACTGATTTTTTTTATTTAAATTTAATCCCCCAGCCTCCCTACCTTTGGGAGTGCAGAGGGGATTCCCTGGGGTCCAGTGGGGCTGCCCGGCGTCCGGTCCTGCAGGCGCGCACTGATGTTGGAGCCGGAATATGACGTCATTCCGGCTCCGGCATCAGTAAGCAGCGCTGGTGGGCCGGGCCCGGTTGCAGCTGCGACCCCTGCATGTACGCCAGTGGATCCATCACTACCTTTAGTATAAGATCCTTCAGCCATATACATGCACCTTGGGTCAGACTGTCTCTCAGGTCTTCCCGGCTTCACATTCTGCACAGAAGCATGGAAAACCATAGAGACTAACTGTTGTCCTTTAACACAGACATGAAATCTGACATTATAAAATTGCCACCATAATGTGTTTGTATTCCAGGTGTATTTAAAGAAAATTAAGAAAAACAACAAGGATGAACAGGATTTAAAATGGTCAGATTTAATTAATAAAAATGAAATAATCTTAACCAAATCACTCTTTACCCAACAGAATACAGGAAAAATCAAAACCAAACACTGCCAAGCTAAATAAATGAACATGAACCAGATAAAGATTCCTGGCGTTTACAGGTACAGGCGGGGAAATAACCCAAATCAAATTATTATTATAGAGGACAATCTTATTGCCATAATATTTACAGCTATTCACAAAATAAATTAAAATCGGAAAAAGAAGTTTAAATTTTTTTTTTTTTTTTTAAATCTTCAAAAAAAAACACCAAAACAAGTATTAAATTGTGAGCTAAACGGCAGGAAGAGTTTTAATAAAATATACTATTCATCACAGCACTGCTCAAATGACTTCTAAGAACTATCCCATCTCTGGCTGCAGATCTCCATGACAAGTGCAATAATATACATCCAGCTGCAGTGGATTCACGATGAAGTCTCAGACCAGGTTATATCAATTCTCAGCCCGACACTCATTCTCCTGTTTAATCAATGAAATGCTTTGTTATTTAAGATTCAATGCGGTGGGAAATTTGTGAATTTATAGATAATATAATTTATTGTCATCTGTAATCTACACTGCTGTATTTAAACTCTATACTGAAACTGGGTGCTTCCACCTTGGATCCCTGTCAATTATTGCCAGAAGCTGACCCGGTGCAAAGAACCTGGTAGTCAGTAAAATTAAATGAAACATTGTTTTTAGTTCTCCAGCTCATTGCATTTCTTGCCCTGTTTGCCTTGTCTGAACTGGATTATAGTAGAATTTGGTAAATATATGATTTACATAAAAAAAAAAGCACCCCATGAATAAAAGGTTAGCACATTAACACAAGTCACAGGCAATTTTAATGGTTTTACTCAATGTTGTAAATTCCATAGAAGTGAAAGTTGCCCTTTAAAAACACACTGCTTGCCCACTTGTCAGTTAAAACCATTTACAGTGTATGTAGATCAGGTCAATCTAGCGTGTTTCCCCCCTACAATTCACTTGATTCTCTGCAAGCCACAGATTGGGAGTGTGATCTAAAAACAGACCAATGGTTTTTACTCCTAATGCAGGTCTCCAGCACAGCAGTTGGATACGATGTAAATATAAAAAGCACTTGTTACAGTTTACTATAAAAAAAATTATCAAAAAAATAAGCAAATATTGCATCAATCAAAGAAAGAATTACAGACTGAAGAAAGTAAAAAGGTTATAAATAAATCATTTTCACAGGAACAACATAATGTTCTATCCCTCTGAGTGTTACAGTAGGGAAGAGCACAGATTCTGTGAGATAAACCGACGTAACTAATTGTGCACAGAACTTTATATAGAACATGTAAAATCATCACTGGGAATGATACCCGGTTTAACAGGTATGAGAAAACCAGTTCGTGTTGCTTATGAATTAGCCCAAGTTTGTGTAAATTGGGCGGTGCACACAAACATCAGAGATGTGATCTGCCTAATTTGATGACAATGCTGCAAAAACTGTAATGTAAATGTGGTGTTACCTCCTAAGCAGCTGAAGAAAGGCAATAAGTGAGGGGAGGTGAGTGCATTGTTAATAGCCTTTTGGCAACAAAACCAATACGTTATAGTGCTTTGAGCGCCACATTGACAGAAAGTGAGCTGATCGCTAAAGCTAGCGGCAGCTCCTGCTTAGAAACATCTGGCTCTGTGGTAGTGGAGACGATGGAGCAGTCGAAGTCAAACCATTCAAGCTGTAATAGTTATGGTGTTCAGCATGTTCCTTAAACCAACAGCATAAATAATGTCAGCTCAGACAATGTGCAAGAATGTAGCTCTCTGAGAGTAGAGTAACCAAAAACTAGAGTGTGTGTACAAATAACATCTACTTTACACACTGGTTGGTGGTTTCGCTAGAGGAAGGCAGAGGGGTTTACCTGTAATTCTTACCTGGGCCTCACTTTGTCTTACTCACCTATCACAAGGTGTATTTTGTTTTATTTGAGGGCAGCTCGTTATCTTCCTAGTGAGAAAGCAAATCAATACTCTTTAACAGAAAATACCTCAACATGGCTTCATGCTAAGAAACGCATTGATTTTTAACTGGGCGCAGTAACATGCTGACATAACCAATGATACATTCTAGGAAAGATAGAGATTGATTAAAAGGTGTTTTTGAAAAACCAAAAGTTTCCACAGAAAAGCAGAGTAAGTCTGTACGTAAACAGCATTATCCCACTGCTGGAATAGTTTAGGGGTGTTGACAAGAGGCAGAGATGAAGACTATTAGTCAGTTCATTCATCTCCCAGTCACATACATTTGTTATAATTTACATATTTACCATCACTTTTTGATTATTCATTGAGAAGCGCAATAAAGTATGTTGACTGGAAATAAACAGCTTACTGTGTCTCAATCTATATTAAAACAGGTCTCGAGAGATGTAATAACCCCCCCTGCCCCTAAAGGGGGGGAGGGAGAGGGAGAAAAAAAAAATACACAACAGGGAATAAAGCCAGTTTCAGAAAAACGACCGCCAATTTCATTTTAATGAAAACCGTGTGGAAATATACTGAGCTGTTATTTAAAGTGTTTAACAATAAACGTGACAGAATGACATCACAACCATCCGAAGGCCATCATTGCCTCGCTGAATTGAAGTCTATTTGTGTATACTCCCCCGATCCTACGCCAATCAAATTGCCGATATACCTGGCTTACTTACTGCTAATCTAAGTGTCAACAGCTGGGCCAAACACATTAGGTCATAAAAAAGGACAGAAAGACATTTCAGAAAAGCTAAGAAAAAAATACAAATATGTTTAAAACACCAGCTGTATTTTCCCCAGAATACAGCATTTTTAAAATTCCAGATTGTTTTCTTCTTCCAGCCAGGTCTAGTCATAAATAGCACAGCTGGTGTAAAACTGCTACAAATGGATCAATCACCAGAGAATCAAATGTAACATTCTAAAGGATTGCTCCAATTATAACGATTTACCCCAGAAGTGTCATATTGAGGGGAGCTCCAATCATTACTGCAGCGTCAGCAAAAGAATATTTCATTTTTGTTAGTCTATCTACATCAGGGAATGACAACAGGTAACAGCTGCTTGCAGAACTAAATGTCTACGATGTTTCTCAATGTACACCAGGCACAGCCCTTTAGGTAGAGGTAAAGCTAGAGAAACACTAAGCAGTTCACATTAACAGCTTCTCAAGCTCATCAAAAAGTGGCCTTTAAAAAGTGTTTGAGATCAAAGGTCTTAAAAACAGATCTTGCCAACTTTATTCCTGAACATGGAAAGCCGCAGCAAGATTCAGATCATTCTCAATGCTTATATTCTGTGGAAACTGAAAACCCACCACCACATGCACACACCAAACAAGGTTGGTGCACTATTTCATCATTGGCACCGATCAGTTACAGGGAGTGCAAAGCCAAAAACTATAGCATGTTATTATACCTTACTCCTGAAAAGTGGCTTGGCACCAGGGCCGCAGTACTCATTGTAGATTAGTTTAAACAAAAACAAGTGGAAGAGTGTGATCAGAGAGGCCACGCTAAACCAAAACAAAAAGGGCAGCCCTGGATATTGTTTGGCCATGTGTTCTTCATGGGCCAAGATTTCTTTCAAGTGAAGAGTGTGTTGCAAATCCTGCAAATGCGTCAAGTCAGTGGAGATATACAGCAGAGGTGTGAGCGGCTGGGTAACCAGTACTGGGAAGGTGTGTCCTCGGATTTCGGAGGTCAGTTCCACAGGCTCATGTAAACAGCCAGCTTCACAAGCATAGAGTTTCACCAGCTTATCTTGGAACTTTACAGACACGTGGAGATAAGGCTTCTCATCCTGATCCAGTTTGACAGCTAGGTTGATAAGGTCTTTGTTATAATGGATTCCACGTAGAGAGTAGCTGTTGTGAAGGACGTGTGGATCGGACTGGAACTGCAGGTGGTTTTCTGTGAACTGAAGGCCTCCGAAGCTCAGCATCATGCCTTGCATGAGTCCATGTGCACCAGCTAACACAAGGCTTTTGCACCCTCGTTTCTGTAACGTCAGTTTCCATAAGTCAAAGAGCTGCACCAGTTGGGCAATGCTGCTCAAATGGCTAGGCCACAAGTTCTCTGCGTGCATGGTAGCATGTCCAGTAAAACAATGGTCTGCATAATTCAGCGTGGCTTCCATCTTATCCCGCTCTTCATTGTTTAGATGTGGATCCACCATGGGTGCTGGAGAACAGGACAGCACATAGTAGAGAGTAGTATTGATTGTGTTACTCGATGGAGTATGAAAATCCTTAATCTTTTTCATTTCAATCCCTAAAGAATGGACAGGAGAGAGAACAATGAAAATATAGGGGAAGGCACACTGACCCATTTCTCCACTGTGTTAAAGATACAAGTAATAAAACAGTATACATTTCTTCACAAAAATACTAATTATCAAGCCACCTTTTTTCTGTTTAAAGGAACACTATAGGGTCAGAAACACAAACATATATTCATGATGGAATTAGGTTAAAAACACAGTTAATGTGGCTTGCCCCTAAGAAAGGGTTAAAAACGTACCTTTCCAGCCCTGCCTCCTATCCACCTCTTGCCGACATCAGCAGAATTGATAATTGGCTGAGATCACAGGATGGGGGCAGGGTCAAACACTGGTCGGGTTAATCAGCATCTCCTCACTTTGAATCAATGCATCTCTATGAGGAAAGTTCAGTGTTTGCATGCAGAGGGTGGAGATACTGAATGTCAGTCACACTGTGCAGCACTGCCTCAGGAAGCACCTCTAGCAGCCATCTGAGGAGTGGCCAGTGACGTTATCACTAGGCTGTAATGTAAACACTGCATTTTCTCTGAAACGAACAGTGTGTACAGCAAACAGCCTGACGGTAATGATTCTACTCAGCAGAACAAATACAATGAGCTGTAGTTGTTCTAGTGACTATAGTGGCAAACTAAGGATTTATGTTTTTAGTAAACCTGGATTTCAATAGCTTTCTGAACCCTGCTAGTCAAAACCTACCAGACTGGACTAGAAAAGGCTTGTTTAAATTATCCTTTCCCTAGATCACTGTTACCAGGGTCCCTTTTACAAACAGCTATTTACTGGTTCACTCAAAAAATATCAAGTATCTGGAAATACAGCTACAGAAATCTCTAGATCAAAAACAATGCAATAAGCTGCAAACATAGGATCTCTTTGGAGAGAAGACCTTAATAATATTCCTCCAAATTCTGACCCAACCAACCAATCATTCTATAACTATAGATAATCACTCAAAGGCAACAAAAACACTCTGCAGTTTGTACACTACGTAGAAATTGGTACCAGAATTTAATATACCGTATATGTCGACCCGAATATAGGTCGAGGCCCCTAATTTTACCCCCCAAAAATGGGAAAACTTATTGACTCGAGTATAAGCCTAGGGTGGGAAATGCAGCAGCTACTGGTAAATTTCTAAATAAAATTAGATCCCCCAAAAATTATATTAATTGAATATTTATTTACAGTGTGTGTATATAATGGATGCAGAGTGTGTTTGTGTGTATGTGATGCAGTGTGTAACCTTGGTGGGGGGAGGGCATTTTTATTATTTTTTTATTATTATTTTTTTTTTTATATTATTAAATTTTTATTTTATTACAATATTATTTACATTTTTAGTTTATTTTTTTCGTCCCTCCTCCCTGCTTGATACAGGGAGGGGGGCTATATTATTCCCTGGTGGTCCAGTGGATGGGCTGGAGGGGGGCTGGGAGAAAGCTGTTACTTACCTTTATATTTCAGAGAAACTGCTATGTTTATAAATGGGTTAATCCAGCCTCTAAAGCCTCTAGTGGCTGTCTCATTGACAGCC